GTGCGTGCCTTTGCTCAAGTGATTTGGCAATAACCTGGAACTGTCTGTGGTAATCGTCAAAGTCTTTACGGTTCCTGAGCTTGCGCTTCTTTTCTACGAATTTTCTGAGATCCTTGGGGCGGTAAACGCGGTCTTCTTGTTCAGTGGGGTAAAAGTTGAAGAGATCTTGCTTCAACGCATCCCAATCTTTGTTCTGGAGGCTGTCAAGAGTGCGAATAAACTTTGCCTCCTTCTCTGTGCAGTAGGAGACAATATAGTCGCATTTTTGCGGGTTGGTAAGATTTGCGGAGTTGGCTTGAAGTTCAAAATCGTGGAGAAACTTCTTCAGCTTGGTTCCTTTGAACCTGGGGGCTTCCCTGGAGCGGGCACCGGGCATACGGCTGACTGTAGTAGTGTGGATTGTGGGGGTGGGGTTGCCAGCAGGGCCAGCAGCGGGAACGGCATGAGAGGTGTGAGACATCTTGCGTGTACTATAGTAACTTGGGTTGTAATCAAATAAAAGTTCTTCTAACTGCGCGTACAAGTGCTACGTCCGTCTATGCGAGGTTTTGGAACGAGTATGGAAGTTGGGGAAAATGGAGGCGCAAACACTGCTGAAATCCCTCCCCTGTAAGGACCACCAGTTTTGTAACGGGTCTATCGCCTAGACTCGAGACAGAGAGAAGGGGGAGGGTGGTAGTGTGCGCAGGTGTGGTTCGTGAGGCCGGGTCTTGGTCCGTGGGCGCTACTGAGTCTGCAAAAACCTCAAACAAACACTCACCTACGTCTCTCTTGGATGTCAAGGCTGAGTATTATGATGTGAGGGGTCTTAGACGTGAGCAACTAGCTCAATGGGGGCGTTAGGGTCGTGGATGGCATCTTTGCCACTTGGATGCAACTTCTGCTTGTCCCTTCACGGGTCTATTCAATACTAACTTGTTATGTACAAGTTGTTATCTAGTTTATATATGTTTTAAATGAAATGAATGGACTGGGGGAATGTAAACGGGCCGTTAGGCAACCGTAAATGATGAATATCCAATTGGGAACAAAGAAACAATAAAAGAAATATGAATGAATGGGGGATATATCATAACGGGTCCGAAATGGGAAATGTAAAAGTTAATTCCGCAACGCTTCGCCACAGCGCCCGCCTATCCTCCCGTCAGCAACCTCCTCGTCTCCAGCTTTCCAACGAGCCCCTATTCGTCCCATTTGGTGCAGTACTTCTTGAGATGTGGCCATTGACAGGTGCTGTCAAGACCATGTGAGAGTATACTCCGTGCTGAACCATCCGGGTATGGGATTGCCATTCTGGGAAATGCTCCGGGGGTGAAGAAGGAAGGTAGAGCATTACTATCGGGTGGAAAAATGGCTGGGTTGTGTGTGTAGGTATGGAGATCTGGAGAGGGGGTGAAATTGGCGGCATGGTTGGGCATGGGAATTTTGCTTGGGGTTGTCGGGAATGATGGGGAAAATAAGGAAAAATAAGGAATGAGTGTAAGGAGTGTTGGATAGTGATAGAATGAGTATCGTGAGCGTCAGCGGATGTGTACTGCGTGTTGGTGACCAAATTCCGCAGAATCCGACTTTTTGCGGTACACGGAGTTGTCCCCACAACACTGCCGCTGGCAAGTAATCTCGGTAGACATGATTGGAGAACTCCCGAGTCCAAGGGCTACAATGCTGTCCTGGTTGTAGTGGACCGCCTATCCAAACGCATCCACACAATTCCAACGGTGACAATGGTGGACTCGGCGGGGATCGCGTGGCTTTTCCTCGAACACGTCTGGAAGCACCACGGTCTCCCTGAAGAGATTCTCAGCGATAGAGGGAGCGCATTTGTCTCACGATTCTTGAAAGAACTCGCGGACCTCCTCGGCATCAAGCTCACCCCCTCAACGCCCTACCATCCCCAGACAGACAGGCAGACGGAGAGAGTAAACCAAGAGGTAGAGGCTTACCTCCGGGTGTTTGTCAACCATCGCCAAGACGACTGGGTGGACTGGCTCCCGCTAGCGGAGTTTGCCTATAACAACCGCATCCACTCCTCCACCCGCCGAACCCCTTTCGAGCTCGACACTGGCCAACACCCTAGGATGGGGACAGAGCCCACACGCACATCCGAAGTAGAAGCTGCTGATGCCTTCTCATCGAGGATGATGAAGACGCAAGAAGAGGCGAAGGCGGCGCTAGAGCACGCAGCGGATGAGATGGCCCGCTACTACGACGGAACCGTGAGGCGGCCCCTACATACCAAGAAGGCGACCAGGTCTGGCTCAGCACCCAGAATTACATGACAGACCACCCAACCAAGAAGCTGGACCATAAATGGACCGGTCCCTTCACGATTATTAAAGTCGTCTCCCCCACCGCTGTCAAACTCCGGCTCACTGCCCGACAAAGAGGGATCCACCCAGTTGTATCGGTAACAAACATCAGACCGCACCGCCCGGACAAGATTGCAGAACGCCCCGCCGACCCCCGCCCAGGCCCAGACCTCATGTGTCATATCCGTGCATACCCGACCCTGACCAACTTCCAGACCTCCACCCTCTTCACCTCCGGAGTCATAACCTACCGTTGCCGTTCCGATACTCACCTTCGGTCTTGGCAACACACCCCTCCTCTTACCTCTCCGTCTGTTCCGATACTCATCTCGGACTGAACATCGCCCTACTCGCCACCCTTCCTACAACTCCGCTCCCCCCTCACAACACCTCCACCCTCCCGTCATCCCCTACGCTTTCTCCGTCCGTTCCGATACTCACCTTCGGACCTGACTACTCTTCCTTACCTGTCCCCTCTCTCCTTCCTCCGTCACTCCTACACCCTTCCGCCAAGTTACGACCATCCACCGCTGTTCCGTACTTCACACTCGGACACCGTTCGTACCTTACTCCGAGCCTCCGTCATAGTCCATACCTCGGACTTTGACTCCACCTCGGTCTTAGTCCATTGCATTGGTGACCTCATACTACGTAAACACCATTGCCAATATTCCTCGGACTTCCAACCCCGCCTCCGTAACCTCCGTAAGCTCCGCAACCCCCGAGCTTCGCGGACCGCCTCCGGCACTCTCGCCGTTTGTAATGTATTTCTCGCAATTCCCCCTCATCCCTATTTGGACTACTGCTTCCTTCTATTCTAGCCAGTTAGTCATCACCCCCACTTCCCCTCATCCTCCTGCCCCTCTGGGCCTCGCCCACTCTACCTCCTTTCGGATGTATCACAGGTCTTGCCCTATGACCTTCGGTACCGCTCCGCTCCCTCTAACCCTTTGTTCCATTCGGACGTCTTGTTCCGATTGGTCACCCTTTGTTCTCCTTGTGCTTTTGCCCCTTCCTTATATATATCGGCGCTTGTACATACTCGTCTGGTTTCAGTCCGAAATCGACCTGAAATGCCCCCAAGAGACTTCCTGCTCACCTACTGTGAAATTAAGGACCAAATGGACAAACAGCAATGGCACAGCGCTCCGCTTGAGTCGCTGAGGCCAAGGTCCCTCCACGCTAAGTCTCTGATTCCACTCCGGAGTCGTCCGTTTCCGCCCATCTCTAACACTCATGGATGGAGAAGAGGAGTATGAAGTAGAGAAAATCCTAGACTCTAAGTGGCTGCGCCGAAAACTCCGGTACCTGGTAAAGTATACAGGCTGGCCACACTCAGAAAACCAATGGCTCACGCGTGACGACCTAACCCATGCCTCAGACCTAGTCGAGGAGTTCCACCGGATGCACCCACATGCCCCAGGGAGAGAAAGAGAGAACCGCCCAGCTGCTTCGAGGCGAAGCGGCTTAAGGGGGGGGTGATGTCAGGGCACACACCTGACCCCGCGCTGCGCTGCCCTACTCCGCTCCCCCGCTATCACTCCCTGTGTCTCCTTTCCCCTTTTCCTTCTTTCTTCCTATTTCCGTTCCATGGTCGACTTCCCCTTCTCTATGTATTACTACACACTTAACCCTGCTCCCCCGATCGCCGCGCCTGCCACGCACATTCCCGCTCACAGAGCAGCACACCTCTGGGATCTCCCACAGAGATGCCCAGGGGAGTGCGGCTGTGTGCAGGGATGACGTGACCTCAGCCGCATGTATATAATAGCACCTGGGGTGGGAACAGAAGAAGCAGCCTTCTTCTCAACTTCCCACTTCGGGTAAGTACTGTAGCTTCCCCTTTTAATGATAATACAACTTCCCACTTCAGGTAAACTAAGTGGTCGGGGACGCTCACCCCGCAACGGGACTGCTGCTACGCATAGCTGACATCTGTCCCATCGAGTCCCTCACACTGGGACCTCACCGCTTTCAGAGCTGTCCCTGACACCTTCGCATGTTCACTGCTTGCTTCACTTGTTTCTCTCACGACTTCATGTCCAGCTCCTCACCTGACAGAATGGTGCAGATGGACTACTTCCTTCTCAGCTTCCGGGTTGAACTTTGGTTGAGACCGTTTCCCAGCTCTGACTTGGTTGTTCGACATCTCTTAAGGTGCTGGGCTGTAAATATGCACATAGCTTGACGCTTTTCCTACTTTCTGTGAGTGCAATCAAGTATGTATTGCTTGCCTTTGAATTCCAATTGTACATACTCGATATGGCACAATTTCCTGCGCATGATGTCTTGATAATGTATGAATTCAATGTGCATAAAATTATGACTAACGATTTCAAGCGCTTGAAATGTGCTTGAAAGTGTTTATTTCATGAGAAAATAATATTTTGGAAAAACTCCTTATTTCTGTCTGAAAGTGGATCTTTCAAGCGCTTTCAACTGCTTGAAATTCCACGTGTCACACAGTGAAAACTATTGGAACAATTGGCGACATATTTGACACTGTCTCACTGACAAATGACTTAAGTTTCGAAAGTGAGTCATTATCTAAACAGCTCCAAGCCACTCAGTTATCCTCAACATTCCGGACAGTATTCCTAGAGACATGCATTGCCACATATGCAAAGGAACGTGGCAAGTCACCTCAGGAGGCCATGGAACGTTTCCGTTCACATGTTCCGAGTGAGGTAGGACAAACAGCTTGGCAGGCATGGTTGAAATTGCACCATAAGTTCACAACATGGTCACACTCTCACACACTCAATATTTCCCCTTTCAGCTGGGAAAGATAGCTCAGAGGCAGGAAGCCTTCGTAAGGCAGAGCAATTGAAGATCGAAGAGAAATACCCTGAGAGGGCCGATGAAGCAAAGGCTTTTATGACAAGTTGCTCGTGCATTATGGGGATGCAATCCTACCAAAAGACGAGAGGGAAACACGATCTGAAAAGGGCTTCTACTTGCTACAAAAGCTGACTGGCAGATACACTGCTCAGGTGAAGTTGGAGATCAATATTATTGTAGATCTAATTTGACAAAATAGTGACATGATAGGCTTCCATGCTCAGCTCGATTTACCCTGTTGGCATTGCACTTGTGGGCTTCACTTCCGATGAAGCAGTGCCACCACAAGAGTCAACCATTGCGTTCACCAGTTCACCATTCATTGCTGAACTAGTGAAAACATTGGGATTACCCTTTACTCAACAGGCCGCGCAAAGTATGAGGTCCCTGTATGATGGAGTATCAGCATTCAGGTGAGCAAGATAGATATGGCAATGCACAAGGAGCCTACTTATAATGTTTCCTCAGCCCTTATCAGCCCAATGCTGCCAAAGAAAAGGCTGTATATCCGGCCCTTTCCTGCTGCTTATGCTAACTTGCTGTAGAGCTTTCCTCTGTCACCTTAGTGATAAAAAACTGTCCATTTTAATGATGACTTAGAGAGGCATCCAGGTGGCAGCAATGTATGCGTGAAGCCGAGGGCTATAGATGAGGATAATGTGGACTTTTATACACCAGTGATGAAAAACGAGGATAGCTTCACTATTGAAATCGACAAGGAGTTTGGTAAGCCCACGGAGTGCCGCAAGTGGTGTGCTAAACAACTTCGGATGTTAATCAGTATGTCTTCAGGTTGAGCCTGGGTGATCACCAACTGACATACACGCTAGGTGATAAAGTGGGCTCAGCTGACAAGGTGCAGGACAACTGGAAGAGTGCCAACATTCTCCCCCTCTTACTCGAGCATCGCCTTTGATTTGCCAGGTGGCATCATGGAGTACCATGCTTGGATAAGTCACTGCCATCCAATTGGACGCCACGTGAAACTGCCCGTTGCTTGTTGCAACTCTCTCACACCATTCCAGCCCAGAGGTTGGGAGTCGAGACAATGACCGAAGGTAAGGGTATATCAGTAAATGTTTGAAGGTTAGAGCTGAGGTACCATTGTCCAGAGGAATATGTGGAATGTGAGGTAGTGCACTGGGCTCCAGACCCAAAGGGTGAGGTTCAATCTTATGTATTTCCCGAAGATCAGGTATGCAGGGCAGTGGCCAAGACAGTGGCTGTCAGCACTCGAGCAGGACGTCCAGAAAAATGCAAGGCAGACTTGCCAGAAGCGACTAGTGCCAATGACCAGGGGACATCAAGTCATCCAAGCCCCAAACGGACGAGGACTAGGTTGAAGAGGATATCAAGTAAGCCTAAACAGGCGAGAGCTAAGCCCGGACGGAAGGTCCCAGTCGCAAGCAACCATGTAGTGAAAACAATGCCGGAAACAACAGCTGGGACTAGTCAGGCAAACGAAACGACCATTCCAGAGACCCCTAGTGAGCAGCTGCATGAATCAGACAGATCAGTTTCGCCGGTAACAGCTGGCAAGTCCCACACATCCATCCTCCCACACTTTCATCTGATGCAGCAAGGTGGGAACGAGGTGCCGGAAATTGAGAGATTTCACACAACAACGACCACCCCTCACTTCGATCTTATGCCACACAATGAGAATGAGGTCCCAAAGATTGGAACAATGACCACCATCCCTCGCTTCGATTTTTTGCCTCAAAGTGAGAATGAGGTCTTGACAATTGGAGGATCTTACACAATCCCTCACTTCGATCTGACAACACAGAGTGAGAACGAGGTCCTGACAATGGAAGAATCTTACACAGCACCCAGCACCCCTCGCTTCGATCTGATGCCACAAAGCGAGGATGAGGCCCCGAAGATTGGGGCATTGCACACCATGCCTCACTTCAATCTGAAGCCGCAAAACAGAAGAAGCATCTCCAGAGAGGGAGGATGCAGTGCCTCTCCCACAGTGGCCATCACGCAATTTAATCTGATGCCCCAAAGCGGGAATAGCATGAGTACCGCCATTCTTCCCATTGATCCTTTGCTGCAAAATGGGGACAATATTCTGGCAAAGCCAAGGGGTGGAACGATGGACCGATCCCCAAGAATGGCATCTATTCCACCGATTAAGGTGATTAACCCAACACCCCAAAGCAGCCTGATTAAAGGGCAGTCAGGATTGAGGGAGAAGAACAACGGTGTCAGCTATCTCACTGTCAAGAATGAACATGACTCTCGCTCATGTTCAGAATCTCCTTCCTCCACAGCAAGTACAAATGGAGAGCCCATCACCTATGACCACCTCCTTAGGTGTGCACAGAATGGGGTGTGGAGGGCGGCTATAAAGGCTGCCATGATCCTTCGTTTGGAAGCACTCGAGAGTCAAGATGTTGAACTCCTGGTTAAGGTCAATGTCATTGCTGAGCAAATTAAAAGCAAACAGTCACCACTCGACGAGCCAGATATTTCCTTGCATTGGCGGCTCATTAATGATGCTGGGGAAGAACTTCTTCTAAATAAAGGGGCTGATGTTGGGAAGGTTGCTAGGTCAGTAGCTCAGCTGCTTGACGAGGCAGAGGCCAGCGAAGAAAGGGATGGGGTAATGGACAAATGGATCGCCAGGCTGCCATGCAGGGCACCCTGAGGGTAATAGCCAATCCTAACATTTGGGCCTAAGTGGTAATCAGTATTCTACAAATGTATGTTTGGCGTTTGGTTGAAATGAAATGCCACCAAGTATACTTATTTATAAGGACATAAGGATCAAGTTGAGTAAAAATTAAAATGGTTTAAACGGCGTTCAATAGCCAGATGTGAGGATTAGATGACATATATCATACAACATCATTTCGTGCTGTGCCAAATGAGAACACAATCTACGTTGCATGAAATAATTGGGTAGAAGACACCGGAGTACATGGAGGCATAGACAACGAATACGACAGCCGTTGTGCAATGTTAGGCAACTCTCCAACTACAGTTTGCCACATAGATCCTCCTTGGTTGGCTTGTTTGGAGGAGCAGGTGGGAACTCCGCCATTTTGAGTGCAAAGAGCCCGGTTTTTGGCTGCCAGCAAATGGACTCAAACTCCTCTTGAGATGGGTTCCCGGACTTCCTTAACATCTCATTCGATTGACATTCAATGCCCTCAAAAAGTTGCCTTCCAGTGCTGGAAATGAAATGGACAACACTGGGGTAGATAGAGTCCTCCGAAAGGTAGATCCGTTGATGGAATGCACGCCTGAAGCGCTGAAGGTGACAAAGGATGAGACAAAAACGAAGGAGTCCAAGATATTCCTCTTGGTTCAGCTCAAGAGGCCTGTGCAAGCACATCCTTTCAAGCGCTTCACACCTGAAGGTCACCTTGATGACGTTAAATGGCAAGCGTCCTTGGCCAGCTGTCACCATTATAATCAGGAAGCGAAAAGATCTTGTGAGTACATCCGCGTCCACAGCTCTGTTATCTCGGCTGGCAGTGTGTCTGGGCCTCAAGGGATGAGTGGTGCTGGAGCGCAATCCAGGAGGATTTTGGTGGTGGCTTCGTCATATGGGCGAGAAAAGACCTCGCTGATGTACCCAAGCTCATAGATGCCAGTATACCCACTTGGGGTGTAGTCGTGCATGTTGATATCTCTGAGAATTGCACCTGAAAATCTTGATTGGAGGCATCGCCTGAGACTCTCATTGCACTCCTGTGTCTTGCAAAGCAACTTCAGAATGTGCATCGAGCCATCCCAGCCCTCCACTTTCCGGTTCAAGGAGGGATCACGGACTTCTCGAAAGGCAAGAATGCCCCATGTCTTGACCGCTTCCAAGTCATCACGTAGCTCCAGTACCGGACCTGATAGGCATATGGATATGCCAACCCAAACATCAGCGGCGGCAGTGTCAACCCTAGGTGACGAAAAAGTGCTAGACAGGCCAATAAAGGGTACAGATTGATTAGACGATGGAAGGGGATGGTTAGGTTGGTAGTACGAGGGAGGTATTTTGACAAATGCTGTCAACAGTGGAGTATGGGTGCCAATGGCGAATGGAATTCTCATCTTTTCCCATTTTGTTCCTTCCAGGGTCGCTCTATGGTGAAGGCCCTCTTCGTATTTTGAATCTAGCCAGACTCCTTGTAGCACACTCTTCATTGTAACAGTGAAGTCGCTGAACGGAATAGCATTCCCCTCGGGGGCGAGCGCATTCAGGCATTGCTCCATGACAAATTGCTGACTGGAGGAATCATCTCGTGGAGCCACGAACACGTAATGCTGAGGGCGAGAACATGTGATGGTTCCTGTAACAACAAAATCGAACCCGACAATAATATCCCCCTTCACAATGCCTCTCGAGTCTTTGGATTGAGCATGGTTCCGTATCTCCTGTTGAAGGGCATGCTCTGCTGCATGATCGAATAGAGGGGGACATGATCGACAAACTGCAAAGCGCTTTTCACCATATTCCACACTCCAATGGGGAATTCCCCACCGTTCTAGAGTGAGGGCAAAGGCTTGGGCAGAGGCGCTGAGAGTGAGGTCGTGAACCTCAGAGTGAGTGCCGTCTGAGCTGTCAAAAATAGTTCCAATGGCTATTTCTTGAACTGGCCACGTCGGAAGTTCCATACCACCCAATACGGCACATGCATTGAGGGAAACGAGAAGGCAATAGCGAAGAAGTCCTCGTAGTTCTCCAATCTGGCACTCGATCTCGCCAACAGTTTCACAATGATATGTCTCGGATCCTGCAATTATGCAGGATTGAAGCAGCTTGTCGAGATAGAGCTCTGACTCGTGCTTGAGTATTCTGATGATTTCACGGTGAGAGGGAAGGATTTCTGCTCGGCAGAGACGAGAGACAGTGCTCTGAATGTGGCGAAGGAGTTGCTTCAGCATGGACTGTGTGCCTAAGAGCCTCTCTCTCCACTCAGACGTTGGGAGCCAATTCAAACCATCAGGAGCATGAAGCAAGTCGATGTTAACGAGTGGCACTTTGATATAATGAAAAGGGGGGCAGAGCTCAATGAGCGCAAGGTATGGGCAGAGTGGATCGAAGCTGACTGGTCTCCAGCAAAAGTCCATGAACTCTCGATATTTTGGAGAAGCGTTCAAGAGGCTTGTCTTCGCTGAGGGTGTAGCGCTCACCCAGGAGGTGTATGTTCCATTGTAGGGGCAAATCTTATCAGTGTTCATGGCCACAATGCGGATCAGCGTCTGACAGTACACCCGCTTGATACTACCTTCTAGACATCCTCTATGTATTAGACTGGAGGTATCCCGATAGAAAAGGAAACAGTAGGGAGCTTATGAGACAACTCTGTTCTCCATTTCTCAACATGGCTTGCAGCCTCAGGACCGGGGGAAAGTAGCAGAATGGGTGAACGAGGCACACCTATCAACATCGTCATGAGAATAGCAAATAGGACATTACTAAACATACTATGTGTACCTTGAATGATCATAGCATCCTTTAGCAAAGACACTGTCCCTCCATCCTGTGCCACAATTTGTTCAACTGAGGTGAAACGTGTGATATCTGGTGGTACTCTCGGTCTTGATGGTGGCTTGAAGGAGGATGGCAGGAGGGGTAGAGGGGGTCCTGGTTGGTATTGGGAGGTAGGAGCCGACATATGTGAGATTTGGCGTCAAAAACCCGGGTTGGAAGGGGGGTAAATGCGTGAGTCCGAATGCAGGTGGGGCTCAACTAGAGGGGGTCCGAGGGCTCCAGTGGTGAACCAAAGCTTCTCAGGGAGCCTGGTTCTGCTGGATGGTACAAGAGGCTCTAAGAAGGACATGGCCTCAGCGGCTCGGAGGGAGCGCTGTGCCTCCGTTATGTCTCAGTTAGTCCTTGTATTTCTTATGTCTGAGGTGTCTTGTAGAACAGGAACGGGAATCACTCAGAGGGACTTTGGGTGGCATTTTAGTCGAGATTAGAACTGAGGAACTACAGGTTCTAATCTACGGGTATTTATAAAGGAGAATGGGGAGGACTTAGTCAAAGTCCGAAATGACAAATGGGACAACACCGAAAGGTACTGAATGATACCGAGAGGTACCGAAAGGTCCCAAATGATATTTAAAACAGGGAACCGAGGTGTCAGGCCAAGGAGGGCGGAGTTGGAGGCCGGAAAATGAATGGGGAAGACAAGTGGGTAAAGGGGGTTAGCTGACTGAATGGTAGTAAGAAGGTAGTTGTGCTAAGAATGGAAGGTGACTAATAAGTGATAACGTGAGGGAGATTACTGAAGGATGTGGGTAGCTCCGAAAGCGGAGTTGCGTATCCAAAGGATGTTAGGTGACTCCAATAAATGAAATGGGTGGAGGAATGGTTTAAGGGCATGTCTCAGGATATTGTTGTAGTTTGAGTTGTCTCTTTTCATTTCAATCTTCACTCTATACATATAGTCATGTGACTTTGGAGTCGACTTTATCCTTTCTACTTATTGTATCAAGGCTAAAGTCTACTCCAGACTGCCCCAGGGGTGCTAACCTGAGTTACTACAGTCCAGGCCTTTGCTTTGTGGGTCAGTGTGTGGAGTGGCCACACCATCTCAGAGAAGTCCTTGATGAAGTGATGGTAGAAGTTTACAAAGCCCAAGAAGGATTGTACTTCCTTCACCTTCATCAGTGTTGGCCAGTCAAGGACTCCTTGGACTTTCACTGGGTCCATGGCAATGCTGCCCTTGGAGGTGACAAGTCCAAGGTACTTGATGCAGCACTGCTCAAACTTGCACTTCTCCAGTTTGAGGAAGAGCTTCCTCTTCTGTAGCATTTCCAGCACTTCCCACACAACCTTCCGGTGTTCCTCCAGGGTGGATGTGAAGATCAGGATGTCATCCATGTAGCAGATAACGACCTCCTGGTCAATGAAGTCCCAGAGGATGTTGTTCATCATAGTCTGGAAGGTTTCTGGGGAGTTTCACAGCCCAAAGAACATCACTGTGGGTTTGAACAGGCCCTGGTTGGTCACAAACACCACCTTCCACTCATTGCCATCTTTGATCCACACGTTGTTGAACCCCCAGCACAGATCTAGTGCCAAGAAATACTTTTTGGGTAATCCTGGACCAGGTGCAGGGACCTGTCTTTCTTCTTGACAAAGAATATGGGGGTGGCCATCAGCGATTTTGACAGGCATATGTGCCTGTTCTGCAGGTTCTCACATAGGAACTTGTCTAGTTCTTTCTGTTCTGGTTGGGACAGGGGGAATGTCTTGCTCCTAGGGAGCTTGGCATCTGGGGTTAGGTTGATGGCATGGTCCCAAGGCTTTTGGGGGGGCAGCACATCAAAGGCTTCCTTTGAGAATACATCCTGGAAGTCTCTGTAGTGCTCAGGCACCAGCTCTTCCAACGTCAATGGTTTCACCTCTATATCCTGGGCTTCCTCTGCTAGGCATTGGGATGGCATCATCATCGCCCTCAGATTGTGTCCCCACATCAGCAAACTTGGTAGGGAGCTCTCAGAGCTCTGTGAGCAAATTGAGTCTTTTTGCTGTGCACCCTCTACACATTGGGTGGAGAAAATTGGATGTTTGAATGGTTTTATTCTCCTAAGGATGCAGAAGTGCAAAGATAATATGTATATACATTTTTGGAAATGCATATTAAATGGCCAGCATCATTACTTGAAACACTCTATGAGCTTTTTGTTTTTAAATCA